TTCTTAAATTATAAAGAAATGCATATTGTAATTTATTTTCAAATACTAGTAATCAAAATTAATATATTAGCTTAAAATTAAAAAAAAATATAATTCTAATGCCCGAGTTGGAGCATACTTTTACGAATTACTGGCCGAGCCAGGTTTAGCAGATCTTAAACTAAATCCAACTAATTTTACTATTACAGATAATGTTTAGATAGAATAAAAATTTTTTATAAACTATTAGAAAATTACTTACAATATAACCAACATCAATTTAATCTGTCTTTATATACATTATATTTAGAGACTTATTATTATAATCTTTACTTTTAGTCAATCAAAACATACAACATTAAACAATAAAATAAATTCATGTGCTAAAAATTACTACCCAATTGTACATTCTAAACGTGATAATTTTATTATGCCCTTATTGTATTAATTAGTTTATAAAGTTGGTGAGATCGGAGGACAAAGGATAGGTATTTAATCTATATAATTAATTTTCCTAGTAAAATTATTTTTTATGACTTTATTGAGTATAGTATCATTAAAAATATTTTTTTAATAATAATATATCCTTTTATTAATAAAGATTACTGATGATACTAAAATCTCAAATTTTTGTTCAAATAAAAAAAAATTATAAAATTTTGTACGATAACTTAATGATATAAATGGTTCTACCTACTCCGGTCCAATGTGCCCCTTCAGTAATGATGATAAAAGGTGATATAAAAAATATCAATAGACGACATAATATTATACATGACATATGAAAGAAGTGGATTTAACTTTCACTTAATACATCATATATGACACACATTTTCCCGATATAAACCTATTTTTGAGTGTACAATTTTAATGTGCTGACATAAGCCAAAAATTTTTTGTCGAGATATATATTATAATTTTTTTAATTATCAATTAGAGGATTAAATTTCAAACAATAGTTTTAAAACAAATATGATTGGAGTGTGTGCTCATTGGTGTCTATGCTCCCCTGTTGCTACTAATAAATAAATATCTACATTGTAATTATTTGTTAACAATAAAGTTTTATCGACCTTACCCTATATCAAATTTCACATAATTGATATTAAAAGGTTTATAGGTAGAGCTACACTTTTACTCTTCTTATAGCTGAGGCCTGAAGGTGCTACATATTGATCTATAATTTATTATTTATTTTTTTGGCAAAATACAAAATATTGACCATACCCCTTTCTTCCTAATTTTTTTCAGTCTGGTAAACCAACATTCAAAATAATAAATTGCTAAAATATAAAAAAAATTATTTTTTAATTTATTGCAATGACAATTGACAATGACCCATTTTAAAATTGAATTAACATGGATATAAATACAAAACAAGTATATATAATAAAATAAATATGGTTTAAAATAAAATTCAAGGAAAATAAATAAATAGAAAATAATTTCTTTATTTTTAATTTTCAGAATCGAATATTAAAAGGCAATAATAAACAAGATAAAATATTGCAAAATGTAAGTAAAATTCTAAACTATGCATAAAATACGCAAAAGAATGAACAATTCTTAAAACTAAAAAAAATTATTAGTAAAGCAAGGAAAATGACAGAAAAGCAGGCTGTAAAAAGATCGTAATAATGTGGAATATGCAAAAAGAGTGCAAAATATACAAAGACACAAAATCATGCAGAATATGTCAAAAGCATGTAAAATATACAAAATCGCATAGCAAAAACTCCGTAAAATGACGCAATATCAGAAAAGCATTGAAATAAGATATATTTTAAAAAAATTTTGGTATAATTTCAGTGTTAGACCTGTCAGTCAAGGTATAAATAATTAGCGGCGCTTTGTTAATATTTTTCACCGGTGGTTGTCAGCGTTGAATTCACAGCCGCCTAATAAATTTGTGGTGCTGCAGCTCATTTTAAAAAATATGAAATTTAGTTTATTCAATGTATTTTTTATATAAATTTATTTCGGTACTCTTATATCATTGCTATTATTCTTAAACCATTCCGTGTCCAACCCTTTTTCTCATGCTTTAATATATTTATAATCGAATATTTTATAAAATTTTTTTTACTCAGTCACATATATTAATAGCATATATAACATAAATTTTAAATACAAACAAAATATTTAGGATGATAATTATAAATAGTTTTTATCTGTTTGAGTCTAATATAATCTATTGTATAAATGACTAATTCAAAATGAAATGAATTACTATACATAACGGGTTGCCAGGTCTCCACAATGTGTTATGAGAGACTGCCTTTTTTTTAAAAAAATACAAAATCTATTGCAATTCTAACCACAAAATCTTTCAAATTTTTATTCATATTTATAAATTTTAAAAAGTATCTAATTCGTATTTTTATTATTTTACTTTTCGATTTACCATAGTTATAGGAAAATTCTTAATTTTTTAGATCATTAAGTTCGGTTTTACCAGATTTTAAAATTTTATTAATGGATTCGTCATCATCAACTTCAAAAACCCAACTACCTCAGTGCAATCTACTATTTATGAATTCAATTTTTTTTAACAGATATGAAATATGTATTTTAGATTAAATAAGTATATAAATAAATTCTCTGAAGGCCTGAAAAAGGTCGGCCGAAAATCCGAAAAGAAAGTATCGGGGCCCCCATATAAAAAAAATATAATAAAAATTTCTCCCAAAAAATATTTTCTACTTGGCATAGAGTCCTGCAAAGTAATTTTTCACAGCCCGAGACCAACTTGAGTCCGAATTTTAAGTTAAAATATTATAATATCTAAGGAAAAATTAAAAATTTACATATTGACACCTTAAATAAAAGTATATTTAACCTCGATTTAAAAATATGAAAATCTGAGGCCTTTGAATTTAATATATCTTAGATAAAACAAAAGTTATCGAATGAAAATATTTAATAACTGCTATAAACAGATTTATATCCTAGATTTTATAAATGTAGAATGTAATATATTTCATTTAACCTGATAGAATATGATGTATTAAAGTTTTTAATTAAACACAATACAAATCACAATCACGGAAAATAGTTAATTTAGAAAATGGGAATTAAGTAAATAATAAGTGAAATGTGTTAGATGATAAATCATATGATTTTGACATATCGATGAAACAAAACGATTATATTTTTAATAATTAATTTTCGGGCCTCGGATTGCGCCAGGGATTTGCTCACTGGGAAGCGTCACGGGTAGCCGAAATTAGAAAAGTTTAGACGCCGTTAATTTTACTAAATTATTTCTAGTCTCTTGAAAAAAAGTTTATTTGTATATACTACATTACAAGGCATTATTCCTTTTTTTTGTAAAAAATTTATTTATGATTTTTTTTAAAAGAGGTTTGGCATGTATAGCCATTATAAAAAAAAAATTTGATTTACATTTTAGTAAAAAAAAACTTCATTTATTTTTTAGTTAAGAAATTTGATTTTTATAATGAAATTTTCATTTTTTTTCCATTTATAAATAATCTTTCAAAACTATTCAATTAAATTTTCATTAGCAAAGAAACAAGGTAATCGGTAATTAAGAAATAATAAATTTATTTTTGAAAAACGATTAAATGTCTATTTTGATAAATATTTGGTCTATTTACTTGTAAAGATTATGCTTTTGTAGTTATAATCGATATGAGGCACTTTTGGTATATCAAAAAGAATTAAAAAAGCATTTTTTTTTTCTAATTTATGAAAAATAAAGTTAAATATTTTTTTCTCTTCCCATTTTTCATAATTTTCCGGCTTTCATACTTCCATTTTATAAAAATCGTGTTTTAATTTATAATTTTAGAAAGTGGAATATTGTGAATTTAATAGTGTAGGTAATAAATTATTATAAATGATAATTTATTAATATCATATTTAATAGGAATACGTTGCTTATCTTGTTTTATATCAATTTTAGAAAGCAAAATATTAGGAATTTTGTAGCAGGCGCATAACAAGGGGGCTCCGTCGCAAATCTCTCTTTCCCGCATATCATTTTAAGCTAATTATAATTTTTCTTCTACAAACTTTAGTAAAAGTTAATAAATTTTTAAAATAAAAACTATAATTCAAATTTTATAAAAAAAATATCTATAAAAAAAAAGTGAAAACACAAAATTCATTTAATAAAAATCTAACATAACCCTAGTCCTGCAATAAGTGAACCGAAATATCCACAATAAAATTTGTGAGAAAACCCATCTAATTGCCCCCGCTTCTTGACAAAATCCCTGATACACCTATGTTTTGTAGTTAGACAATAATATTTTATTATAAATGGCATTGAGACTATGCGATTAAATAAAACATTTAAAATATAAATTATAAATTAATTTTTAAATTTTTTCTTGTAATTTTTTTATTTGTATTTAATTTATGGTGTATAATAAATAAATAAATAAATGGGGGAAAAATAGTGTTATTTTGAGCCAATACTTATTTATGCTCCCCAAATCCTTGAATCCGGACCCAGGACGCTAAACCTTTTTTATTTTATTCCTAAACACTGGCTCTTTTTTTGTCGAAAGGTTCACACCCCTGTCTAAAATGTCGATTATGGCATCTATCCCCTTTATGAATTCCAATATTTCTGATCCAAATATTTTTAAAATTAAGATTATGACATGTCAATATCGATAGTCACCTTTGTGAATTGCATTTTCATTGAAAATTATAAAATATATATTTAAAATATCCATTTCCTAATTTAAAAGTTTTAAAATGAATATTTTATATCGTTTTGCATCAGAGTACTATATAAATTAAGTTTTTATGTTATTTCACATTTTTCGTGCTTTTCTGTCTTGCGTGGTTCAATATTCAAAATCAAAATAAGAGAATATTTACATTATATTGAAAAAATTTTAATTTTGTTTCTTCAAAATCCTTAAAGAGTTTCGGCAGAATAACGACAATCCCAATCCTTGTATTTCTAAATTTTTATTTTATAGTGATAATAATAAACACATAGTTCACATATGTCATTAAATTTTATTTGTAAGGAAATTGAATTTAACTTATAATGACACAAATTAATTTCTAAAATATAATAATTTGAACAATTATTTTGTAAACTTCTTGATAAAGTGCAAAAATTAATTGAATTGGTTTATTTTAAAAAAGAATATATTTAATAATAATTTTTAATCGTCAGTCAGATAATGATGATTCTTTTATAAGATTGTCACCGTCTTCAATTTTTTGGGGGCTATCTGTTATCATATTTGTATCCTTTAATAAATTCAAATCATATTAAGGTTAATTTTTTCCTATAAAACATTTTGCATTTTAAATTGTGTCAATTAATATTTTTTTATAAAGTTAATAAATATATGAGGTTTGGCTAAGTTATAGCCTCTTTCGACTAAGCTGTAGCTTATAACAAATAATTATTGCTATTCTATATTTTTATTAAAACGACTATGATGACTAATATCCATTGTCAATCTTAAAAGCTCTGGCAAATAGTTTTTTCAAGTTATTTTTTTTTACTAGTGAACCCTACCCCTAATGACTGAAAAAAACCAAACAAAAGAAATTGAAAGATCAAACAAGAATATATTTTAATTTTATATATAATTACAAAAACAAATATGATTTTAGGATCCATTTGACTATATGAGGTAAAAGCTATATTTATTTTTAATAAATTTACAATAATTTTTTTTAGATATTATAAATGGATGTTTTAATATAACGCATTAATAATGGGTCCCATTTTCATATAAATGTATATGCCTACGCCCCAGAGACAGTCCTTGGTCCTTAAAGCAATTATATCAGGTAAGCTAGCTATATAACATGACCCTTAAATGTATTATTTGTCGTACTACGTTTTAAAATATTATATAATATAGCTCTTTTTGTTGGCTACTAGTCGGCTAAGATTATTCCTCATTGTTATGTGCCCTAAAATACTTTATAATACTTCATAAAATTTGCTATCAATATTCAATTTCCAATTAAATCGAGTAGCCAAAAAGCGATAAAATTTTCTTAGTGGCGGAGAAATTAAATGTGGGTCCAGTTTATTTGGGTCTTGAAAGCCTAATTTTCTATATTAAAAGTTGGTAAATTAATTAAATTTAACCTGTGAAATAGCTAGTTAGTAGGCCTATCCCAATAACTAAAAACACGGCAACCAGGCCTAAGTGAAGATATGATAATTTGTATAGCAGAGGTATCTTCTCGTTTGGCCTAGAAGGTATAAAATAGTAGGATACTTAACTATAAATTCTAATAATGTGCATATATATCATTGTAGTATTTAAAATCCGTATTGAATACTATTATATTATTCAAATTTTTTTTTTATCTTACAATAATATTTGAAAAATAAGATATCTTATTTAAAATTTTGAATTGAAAAATAGTTAATTATAATGTTAAAAATCTAATTTGCCTTATATTTGATGCCTTGAAGAAATATTGAGAATGGGTCAATACTAAGGGAATTTCGCAATTTTCTATACTCATAGGAGCTTTTTGCTCAACAACCTTGTAAAAAAGTGCACCAACTCCTAGCCATAATACCACGATAAAACTTATAATCCATCCTATCAAACTTCCCTATATTATTTGTAATAATTTAAAATTGTTAAGTTTAAATATCATTTAACTATGGTATTTGCCCATGGGAAAAACATACCTAGTGTAAATAATCCCAACATCGGGCCTCCTACCACACCAAATATTGTTAATGAAGCCTTGAAATAAAAGATTAACAACTTGCGTAATTATAAATAACTTGTAAAACAGTGCCCAAATGTGCAGACAAAAAGGCCATCCCAATTATGACTAAACCAAAAAATATGGATATAATTTTAGACCATAAAGCGCCTTTATTTTCGGGAATTTTTGTAAAATAGACTTTTATGATGTCTTCTAAAATCACTGCAGCTAATGAATTTAATCCCGATGACATAGTGCTAAAATTATATAATAATGAAAAATTGGGATTACTTGAATATCTTTAAAGATTAGAGATATTGTCTGGAATTAAGATATATGGTATATTATATTTATGAGTTAAAATACATTTCAAAAAAAGTATATATCTCCATTGCAAAACTTTTCTTGTATTTAAAATATTAATTGTTGAAATTAAAAAATAGTCTATATTTTTTTATGAACCTTAAAGACCCGCTAAATAAGCTAGAGATAAATAAGCCGGGAAGTCCAGGATAATTCATAATATCCATAACTACATAAGGTAAAAGCTAAATTTATTTTTAAAGTATATTTTAAAATAATTTTTTTTAGATATTACTTGATCAGATGTCTTTATATAACGCATCGTTAATGGGTCACATTTGTAGTATAATGCATATATAACTATACCACAAAGACTGCATACTGTCATGAAAGCAATTAAACCAGGTAATGCGTATAACATGGCCCTATGATTTACATGTAATGTTTGCCTTACTATCTTAATATATAAACTAACTTTTTACCCATTTTTAGGGATGTACAACTCAAACATCGTTGAACTTGAGCTTGATTGACAGCAAAAATTGATAACCACATAAAAAATCCGCCAACGTTTATGCTCCAAAAAGTATGACGTATGAAGGGATTCGGATTATAACTAGGAAAAATCAAAATAAATAATATGCATTTTTCCCCTTAATATTAATAATCAAAAGGAGTTGGATTAAAAAATGTTATTTATTTTACAATCCTTGGTTTTCACAACATAATTACTTTATTTTTATTGCTTATAAATGGAAATAAATAAATTCTAAATGTTTGCATTAATTACATAGATTAATTTTAAATTTAATTCTTCAATTATTATGGCATAACTATGGGAAGAACTGACAAGGGGTAAATTCAAAATTCTTACATGCCCAACTCGAAATTAGTGTTTTTTCAATATTCTTAGGACCACCCCCCCCCCCCCTTCCAGGGGAAAATGCAACTGTTACCTAAAATATGTGTTTTTATAATTTATATTATATTTTTTTATATTTGCTAATATAAATAATAATTTTTGGGCATTATATAGGTCAGCTTATATTATTTTACTGTAAATATATGATATCAACCTGTATTTAAGATTTTAGTTTAGGCTAATTAGTAGCATTATACAGATAAGCTTAATAGAAAATTTTAAAAATGAAATGAAAACAATCAAGTAAAATAAGAATTTCATAATAAAAGAAGTATGATTAACAAAAGAACGAGTTAAATATTGAGAGCACACTACTTGAAAAAGAATTAAAACATTTTAAGTTAGGACTTTATATAAAGAGTTATATTTATACGATTATTCAGAATTATTTTTTTAAAGAGTGTCTAACAGGGACGAGAACCCGAACCCAAACCCTGACTCCGAACTCTCAATATTTTGCTGAACCCAAACCCTTTTTTAAAATTTAGGGTTCAGGGTTCAATCTTTATTTTTTAATTTTAAAAAATTTATATATTAATTTTAAAAAAAACATTTTTTTGATCATTTTTTCGTGTAATAATTTTTGTTATATTTAGTAATTCTTTTAATTGTATTATAGTATTATAATTATGATGATAAATTATTTTTATGGTGATACTTATTATAATAAAAAAATTTCTTAAAAATGATGTTACTGTTATTTTAACTAATTTTCAATAAGTCATTATTTTTCTGGTCTCTGAATCCAGAACCCACCTGAACCCGAACTGGGTTCAGAGATTTTTCGTTGAACCCAAACCTAAACCCGAACCCATTTTTTAGAAAGAGGGTTATCGTCCCTGGTGTATAAGTGTGAATCGGATCTAATTACCACACAAAGAATTATTCAAATTAACATAAGGAAATCTTGAGGCCATCGCTAAAAACAAAATTCTTATGCCCCCCCCCCTCCACTATCTTTTAATTTGGTCTGCTGAACTCAAATACCCGTGCGGCGAAATTGGCCGTTACAGCTCTATGAATTGAATTTTATTTGGGGTTGAGATATCTTATACATTTATTCAAATATAAAATAATTGGGATAGCATAAAATATGTCCCACCAATTTTTTCCACTTTTATTATTAACAAGGATAATATCTTTACGTTAAACATGTATTTTTAAACATTATTTTTATGAGAAAAAGGAAGTATAAACATTTTTAACACTTTTGACAAAGTTTTTTTTTACTTAAAAACATATATTCTTTTTCCTTCTATAGCTCGTTTAAAAACAATTCCCATACCACCCACCTCAGAGGCGCCTCTCCATATGATGGCTATTATTCCGGCAAACATAAATGCACATTGTATGGCATCCGTCCAAATGACCGCTTTCATTCCGCCCTAATGATGTTGAGGTATTTAAATTCATTAATATGGTATTTCATTATTATAATCTATATATAATATACAAGAAAGTATGTGGATAGTATATAATTATCAGGTATCTCCAAAAAGCTACCTTGTACAAAATGTAATTAGTTGAATAGCATTTATTAGAAATGTAACTGGATTACAGTTCTCAAATTTAATAGTTATATTATAGCTACCTTAACTTTTTCAAAAAATGATGTTAATTATATGGCTTACTTGATACATTAAACATACGCAGTTTTAAGAAAAAACAATTATATTATTATTTATATACTTATTATATATAATTTGTTTCTATCCTTTTCTTAATATTTAGTGTTGTTATAGAATAAAATATATTTGGGTATGCAACAATTATTTAGTTTACATAACGAGGCTTCCATAAATTAGTTGTTGAAGATTTCTCAGCTAAAATTTTCCTATTTATAGGTAAAGAATACCTTGTAGGGGAGACTGACGCTATTTCGGGCTGATTTGGAGTGCCATAAATGGGTGAAATAAGACTTTTGGCTAAAGAAGGGAACCCCCATCATTAGGCTATAATTTCATTATGCTAAATAATTCTTGCCTTAAGTATCCCTCCCCGAACGAAACGAGAATCATCTTTTGGTCGAATTTGCCCCAAGCTCGGAGTATTCTCGGATATAAACCGGAATATTTGCATATAATGTTTATTGGCTTTATTTTAATAAAAATGGATCTTAAAATTGACAAATTATATAAATAAACTTTATTAATGAATTTAATAATCTTATGCATCCTTGAGGCCCATCATTAACAAATGTTTGATATGTTCTAATAGATACTCTGTCCTCGTGGACTTTTAAAATTTTATTATAATCTTTATTAATAATACTAATTATTTTTTCTTTAATAATTTTTGCATTTTAAAAAAAATTATAAAAAAATGTCAATTATGAAAATATTTATAGTGTCCGGCAAATACCACGTCTAGCATATTCATGGAAGTAGTATTTAACAGAAATTCGATCATTATCAAGTAAATCCTTGTTCAAAATCTTTGAAATTTTTTTTATATTTATTAAGGGTCCAAAGTTGCAGTATAAATTTTAATGTGTGAAACTTAAATAAATTAATTTTAAACAAAAAAATCTAGCACACTTTTTTTCTTTACTTTTAGTTATTAAAAGATGTTTTTTTGCATTAAAATTTTTTAAAAGTATCCGAAGCTGAATTTTTTTACGAATTAATTTTTTTATATTAACCTACTTTACTTATAAATTTCAAGTCTCAAAGTTAAATAGTTTTAAATACAAAGGCTGTCCAGATTTACCCCATATCCGAAATAGCCCCAGTTTCACCTACAATTAAATAATCCCCATATATTTTTATATGTTTAAAATAATTTATAAAACTAAGCCAAGCACATGCGTATTTAAGATTTTCTATGGGGTGAGTGGAAATATTTGGGGGAAAGGGTTCACTTCTCCAAACTCTTTTTTCAGATCTTGCTCAGTTTTTGATCGGGTCGCGGGTTTCATCTTAAATTTGTTATATACAAGAATTCCTCAGTCGTATCAATATTTTTAAGAATTTTATAATTATTAACTTGAAGGTCAATCATAATATCATTAATAAAATTAATTTTATTTCTTGGCCTTAAATTATAAGTGGTTTGTATCATCTCCGTTTTTTTGAAATTGTTGTAATTGCTGTTGTTGTTGTTGTTGCTGCTGCTGTTGTTGTTGTTGTTAATGCTGTTGTTGTTGGTGTTGGCCTTAAAGGTCTGCTTGTTCTCTTTCCATGACGAATAGCCTTGCTAATCGGTTCTATCCTCTCTTCTCCAAGAATCTTTCTCTACATATGTTTTATTATTATTGATCTCCAACGATTGAAATTTGACAACAATGTCCTCTATAATATTAATTTCTGTAGTATTTTCTTTAATCAACCTTGTTTTTAGCTTTTCATTACGACAATTCAATATAAAATGCACCGACAAAAATTCAGGATTGAGCCCCGAACCATACCCTTTCAGTCTATCGAAATACTCTCTGGAAGACTCAAGTCTGTCCGGTTTTGTATTGAACAACTCCAAAATACGCGTGATCTTGTTCTTTTCAACTTTCTTTTGTACTAAATCTTTCATTTGTTGATATGATAAATTATCAATGTTATCCATGATACCAATGTTTCGAATAATTTATATTTTTTTGTAGCTTCATCTATAATATTCTCCGCAAGAAATTTCAGATCCAACGTCTTCAATAATACCTTGATCTTTACATCACCCCTATCCTCCACCATAAAGTATAATATATAAGAATACGAATAGAATAGAATAGAATAAAGTGTGTGATTGTATTAAATAAGTTACGGAGGAATTCCCAATATGTTTTTATAATTTATTTTAAAAATAAGAAAAAAACAATTTATTATCATAAAGAAAAACAAGTGATGACAAAATGAAAATATATATTAATATATATATATATTTTGTTGCCTTGAGATATACAAATAAATTTCACTGAACTTTAAATATATATTATTTAAGTATTTAAATATATAATAGTTTAACTGAATTTTAAATATAAATTATTTAAGTATTTAAATATATAATAGCGCACATGCAACAATTTTTAAAAAATATTTATCTATGATCTCAGTAAAAATTCTTGTAAAGAGACTTAATTATGTTTTACTAAATTCTAAATTTCATTGAAATTATTTAAATCATTTCCCTTTTAACAACATTTTTAAAAGTATCCTTTTTTGCACCACCCAGTATTTTTTCTTTTTAGCTTTCAAATTTTCTGGTGGTAAGCTCCTGCACTATCTCCACTTTATTACTCATGCTATCTATTTTATCTAATTATTTCTGATCGATTCCATTTGTATCAATCACCGGTGTATTGCTATCGAGGCCAAAGTATCTTGATCTCCCACCGGTGTATCAAATCAATATCGACAGATATCCCACCGTAGTATTCCTCACACCGAAGTATCAAATCGACAGATATTCCAATCTTGATCTCCCATCGAAGTATCGATCCCAATGGATCTCCCACCGGAGTATTGTTATGACCATTGTAACATGGTAGACATTGAGCTTGAACGGCCTTCGAGGTCACCATCATCATAGCGCTGGCCAAGAAATTGTTCTACTGACCCACGAGTTCAGCTGGCCGTCTTATTTGGTTTAACAAGTATCCTAGCACCTGGCTTTCCCAAGCTTGACGGTGACTGGGGTGGCATTTCTCAGCTCAGAAATTTATCATATCATATGTCTATACCCATCTGTCATCGAAGAAAAACCCGAAAATTTTTGGTTCCTTACCAGGATTGCTGGGACCTTCGGTTTCCAAGCATACATCATACACGACTGGGCCACCCCGGCGATTGCACCACTCAGTATATATATATAAAGTATAAAAACCATGCTTAAACCCACCTTTTAAATTGAGGACAACTTTTCTATTAAATTGGAATTGGTTATAAATAAATCCTTGTTAATACAATGTTTTTCTTTGATCTAATAGTATATAAACTTTGAAATTATTTAATTCTTCAAAATCGATAAAGTTTAGCAAAAATAACACCTCAACGTGAATTTCAAATTTGTAGATAGGTTTCGCCGAAGCAATCAATTATTACGCTACCTACCTCGATTTATAACCTTTTTAATATATTATTGCATATGATAACATTATAGCATTTTCTTGTAATAAACCATTTCAAAATGGTAAAAAAAAATCGTTTTACACTTGAATTGCATCATTTAAAATATGTAAAGCATTATTTTAAATTTTACATGAGTAATTACTTCACAAGGTAAAAATACATAATTTATAAAAATGAACAAAATTATCAGTTCCTTTCGAGTTCAGTTTAAAGACGAGGTTATAAAATGTGTATTATTATGTAATCAAGCAGCGCTATTCCTAACACAAATGTATATAAGTAGTTATAAAGGGTATTTAAATTAATCCAAGGTCTAAGATAAACTCAAAGATTTATTTAATAAAATTGTGAATGGGAAGAAACAACTTAAACCCCCTTTACAATTGGACCGCAGACAAAATTAATTTTTTTGTTGAATAATAATGTAGAGGAGACCGAGTAAAGCGATTGACGGGGTAACAATGTTGCGAATAACTTCTTAACCCTTGAGCATAAAGACTTTAAATTTTGTGGGAAGATGTATTTTTATATTTAATTTCTTACCCTAAAAAACCGTTTTTTAACCCAAAAGTTATAAAAATTACCCTCTAGTTTTTTTTTCTTTTAGTAAAATAGATTAAAACGTAGCATAGATGTTTCATAAATTCATAGCTATATAATAAAATTTATCGGAAGTTTATAGCTTAACTAGAAGTCACGCAATAACCATTTACACTCACCTTGGTGTAAAGTAGATAAGGGGTCTGGTTTAAGCTGTAAAAATGTAATTTTTAAATATTAACGTCTAGATCATATAAAGGATACTTTTGTGCAAAAAGGATCAAATAAATAGTTTGTGTTATTTGGAATAATATTTTATGAATAGTCGTGAAGGGAAAGAATAATTGAAATATACGATGTGCCAAAAATAGTCTCATTAAAATTGTGCAATTTTTTATATAATTTTTTACATTCCAGTATTCTATTGATTGGTTTAAACTAAAAGTGAGGAATAGCTGTCAAAATTGTAATATTTTATTCAATTAAACAGTTATGTTCAATTTTATTTTAACCATTTCAATGCCTATCCACTTTACGCAAGGTGTGGAGTAAAATGGCGAAATACATGATTCAGTTAATTTATCACAGCTCCTAAAGTATTATATGTAAAGAGCTACACTTTTTTTATTTTATAGATAAGGGATTTGACTAAGTATATATATATATAATTTGTTCTGTTTTGTTAATGTTTCAAAATATTATGGTAAAAATGCAAAATACCAATGGTTTTACCCTGGTCTCCCCTAAAAAGCGAAAATCATTGAAGTTTATACTGAGTTATCTATCACTTGATATCAATGAAGGTCATCTTTTTTATTAGGACTATATATTAGTTTTTTTTTAAAAATGGAAGGAACATTTTCTATTTTTATATAATAAATCATAAAGTTGAGTGATTTATTTTGCAGAATTGTTTTCTTTATAAAAATTATAAAATTAAAAATGTAATAATTTCTTACTTGTTATATTTCATATAAAGCCAAAAAACAAAATGAAAAATGTTAGAAATTTTCATTGACTCTTTGGGTGTTTCACTATTTTTCAAAAATGATCATTTTAGTATGAATAATAATAGTTTTAACAAAAATAAATAAAAGTCTATTAGGAGAATTGAGTTAGATTAAATATTTATACTAAAATTAGAATAGTGATAAGTTGGCAGGCAAACTCCTGTAACTTGTAAATTAAAACTAAATTTAGTTATATATAACTAAATTTTGTCACTAACGAAACCACATTATAAGACCATAGCCTTGATTTCTTATTAATTAAATGAGCATATATATAAATTGTATGGTAAATTAAATGCTCAAATTAACTAAACAAAATAATTTTCAATCCTTACAGACGATCTTTTTTATTTACCCACTATAGACATTAAAAATCTAAAATATTTTAATTCTCCCACACAAAAATTCACCATAAATTAATATTACGATTGAAGTATAAAATGTGCATACGAGCCCAATTACTACTATAGATGCATATGTTGGGAATTTTGTCACTATTTAAAATAATAATAAAATTTTAAATGATATAAAAACATAAATATAGGTAACCTTCATTTAACGCAATAGCAGGAGCATACATAACGATTCCCATGTAAAGTATCTATTAATATAACATTAATTTTCAATTAGTAGCCGATATCTAACCGTTAGCATCACGAAGGTAACACATCCAGCTATCCTTATATACTTGTGAAATCTTTTCTCCAAATACTATGTATAATATCAAAATAAATCACTGAAATACATATTATTCGATATCGATACCTTGTAATAAATTGATATATTTTCGATATGATTTTTTTAGTATTGAAAATCTTTTATTAATTATTACCCAGCATTCAGTTAGCACAAATTCTCTGCGAAGTATACAAAATTAGCGCTAACAACCTGAAACCTGTACTAATTTTGGTTATAGCTTATATAATTCGCCACGAATTCGTTCCAACTGTGAATGCAGGGTACCAGACATATATTAAAGACACATTTCAAAGTTTTTATTATCAGACTTTCCCTATAAGCAATAACATTGAGCAGTGTTTTTTTTGAATGAATTTTAAGTCGCATTATTATTTGTTGTTCTATTCTCTACATTTTAGATCTAATACGATTAAATAATATAGGGAGAACGGAAGTTATAAATTAATTATTGAAATATAAATATTCTGAATCGCTTTTTAATTTTTTTTATTTTATTTAGAAAAATTATTTAAAATGTTTATTGTATTTAAATAAATGGGATTAATTTTTTTATAAAAATAACAATAATTTTTTTATTTTATAAAGTTAATGTTTTATTTGAATAATGTAAAACTAAATATTTTACCATTCAATAATTATAACTTATGTAAAATTAAATTTAAAAAATTTTTTTTTCCGGTCATGGGTTATTTTATTTAAATATTTACTGATATGATATGTTGTCAAAATGTAGTAAAAGGATAGGAAATTTAGCTATAAGCTTTCAATACACCAAAATTTTAAAAGTATAGCCGACGCCGATCGATACAAAATATATCGGGTAGTGTATCGATGGTATAGTATCGCGATTCACAACTCTGATATTTGTTTCCTATCATTATTTCCTAATTGTAATTTAAAATAAAATGTTTAAAAATAATTGGAAAATCAAATCTATAGAAAAATAATGATTACATTTAACAAGCTATCCCTCAAAATTAATAGTATAAAATGTGAGGGATATATTTTTGGAATATGTATATTGAAATATGTTGATATCATATTCTTATTCACATATCATGAAAACTACAAATTTGATTGGAATTCTAAATATCTAAAATCTGCCTGTTAACCCTTTATATCAAGTTTTTTTTGCAAAAAATATGTCCTAAGTCACATGATATTTTATTTATTTTCTTTCAAAACATAAAATTTATACAGTTTGACAATGAATTACAGAAATAAGAGAATAAATATCAGAGACCTGCAGAGGTACCAATTCCATGATCCGGCCCCAGGTTTTAGACTTTTTTTTTAAATTCCGGCCTGGGGTATATAAAAAAAATTTCTACATCGTTTCAAAATAAAAATTACGCTTTGATTAGTTTTTCAGTTATGATAAAATAATTTAATATCTAAATAACTTTTAAAATTGTATTCTTTATTCTAAAAGGATGATTTTATTTGATTAATACCAAATAAAAAGAGTAAACTTGTGATCATTTTTGGCGAAAAGTATTTTATTTTGTAATGTTGTTGACTGATTAAAATAAAAAATGGTTTTAAACCGCTAAAATAGGGAATTTTCCTTATATCTCAAAGAAAAACAATATTAATATATGCTAGAGTAATAAACACTTGTATTTAAATTGAGTTCTTAAATAAACGATAAGGTAATTTTGATAATATTTTCCCATTTTTAACCAATTTCTTAAAAACTCAATTTAAATATGGGAGTCATCTTCCCTACTACCTATTAATATTCATTTCAATATTGCTTTAAAAAATTTCTAGGAGATTTAAGCGAGATTCCTAATTTTAAGCCATTTTTGTTTTAGCTCGTTGGAACTGAAACCAATTTTTATTTTTAGTCAAAAATTGCATAAACTATTAGAAAGATAATAATCAAATTTAACTAATATTATTGGTAATTTTTTATATAGATTATTAAATTTAAAAAAAATATATAATATAAACTAAGTTTTATTGGTTTCTAACGAGAGATATATAAATGGTTTTGAAATTGAAATAGGAAATATGAGAAGTAAATGAATGTGATATATTATTTTAAAATACAATTTTTCAGAGCTGTTAAATACTGCATCTAAATACTAAAAGGTGGTATCTATATCTAGATGCAATTTTATGAAAATTATATCAAGATACTATTTTAGAGGTATCCATATCTGTTTTTAAATATATTTTGATATATATTTATTTAATTCTTTTTTATATTAAAAATAAAAAATTTAAATGAATAATTTATTTTATTTCATATGAGCATATAATTTAAATAAATATATTTTAAAAAATATTAAAACTAATGTAAAAAGAAAAATATACATAAAATATTAAAACTTACATATTAAAAAAATATTATTAATCAAATAATCTTTTTTTTCCTTTTAAAACTATAGATATCAGTTCAAGATGTGAAGGATATTTTTCTCATGTAGGAATGTATAAATCTTTGCTTAGCTATGATTCTTTATAATTAATAAAAACAATACCACTAATGTTAAAATTATTTTGAGCAAAGAAAGTTATTCCAAATTTTTAAAATTTTTATAGATATCCCGCTTAATTTTAATAAATAAATTATAAGTTTAATGTAAAAAAAATTTTTTTAAATAAATACTCGCTATAAATTAGAATTTGTTCGAAAGAACGATAAAAATAGGGAAATTGTTTAATATTTTTTTATAAATGTTCGAATTGAATGAGAACAAAATATAAAAATGTTGTTTACGTATTTTGTGCTCTCATAATATGTGTGTTTCTGTTTGAAAAAAAACGGCTAACCTTGTATATATTTAGATGCAAAATCACTCTATTTTAGCCAATTAATAAAAACAGCTAAATCAATAATTTTAGCTAGAAAAATATTGCCTAAGACTCGAGATTGAGCTAATAGATCTCCAAACCCTTAGGCCATCTATAAGCAAAATTCGAGCCTGCTAAATATTTTTGTGGATAAAATATTGAGCAAGCCGTTTTAAAAAATCGGCATGAATAGAGCGATTTTGCATAACTATATATAAATATAGCATAAACGGTATCTGCATTTTGTAATTAATGTAACAATATTTTGATACGTTTTTAGGCGTGGTATTTGTATCTAGATCTATTTGAGAAGTATCTTATAGCAACTCAGCAATATTTAAATATATTACTTTTTTATATACGATAATAGGGAAATTTAAAATATTGTTCCTGACCGGCCCCAATTTTATAATTCTTAGCCCAGCACGGATTTATATTCTAAAAAAATATATATTAGAGATGCATCCAAACTTTTGGCCTGGGCTTTCCTGTTTCAAGAGCTCTCATCAAGGCAATAACGATGAGCTTTGCCTGATGACTAAAATATAAAATAATTCTATTATAAAATGGATAAGAGTGACGTGTATTGACTAAGAGGGCCTCTTATGTTATAATGACGCAATTGATTCGCTCTCCATACAGGGTCATGCATACGCCCTCCCTTAATGACACTACTCATTAATTCAAAATTCTAATATAATCTTAAAAGGGTTCGATTTTTTATATAAAGAATTAAAATACATATAGAAAATCACATTCTAACAGATAAAATAAGTGATTTGAGTATTCCAGTTTGATTTATATATTTTAATCAAAAACACAAGTAAGAAATAAAATGACCACAAATTATATTGTCAGACGTCGTGGTGGGCATTTCAAATAGGAAATCGATTCAAATAATATATTGAATGAAGTGATATGTTGATCATCAATAAATAATTTATTATAATTCTTTTTTTAATTTAAAACTTTATATTTTTTTTATTCGTTTTTTTAAATATTTATTTATATAATTATATAATATTTTGATATTATATAGATATTATATAATTATTTAATAAATACTTTATATTTTAAAAAATATATTTAATAAATGTGTAAACTGTATTTTTTTAAAAAATATTAAAAACAACAAAATGAAATATTATTCGTTTTCGTCATCATTAGATTTAGATGGTGACCATGGATCTTTGAATAATTTAAAATTATCATGGATTCGAAGCTTATTTTTAGTTTGATTTTAAATGAATTTGAGATTGTGGATTTAGAGCTTCTTATTATAAGTTTGAAAATAAATATGGCTTCATTTTCAAGAATGGGAAGTTGATTCTGATAGAATGAATATGTTATTAACATAAATGTTAGAATATTTAAGATTTTTTTTTCTTTTACCAATTCCAAGTCGATCGTAATGATATGAGATGGGGGCAAATCGATAGAAGTAAAGTCCAATACACATGTTTGCCATTATCCTATGGGATCAAGTATATCTAAACGGCCGAGTGTTGTTAATGATTGAGGAATCATGTGGTTCAAGATGTGTTGAAATATGAGCTCCATAAAGTGTATTTTTTGAACACTTTATCAATTATTTTATGAATTTGTATCTATCAAAGACAATGGATAGGATATCTTGATTTTTGATCTACTTGGACCCGCATCTATGACATTTATAGGGTTGAAATATTTTTATCCCTAACCTGATTGCCACTGTATAACGAAATTCGGCGTCTGTATGAAATGAACTTATTGGTTTGCTTGGATAAGCCTTTACCCATTCATAGCCGGGCTTGTCCATAACAATTGAATGATTGCCAATGGAGCGTGATACGAGAGCTGTATCCTCCTTTTGTTAGCTTGTTGTGGGTTAATTTGTTCCCTCTGTTACGTTTGCTGAATAGCTGGATAATGCAAGATTAAATAACAAATCTTCGGCTGGTTTTATTGGATTCAAATAAATTCACGGTTACTAATGGAAGATGATATGAATGATACAATGAGTTAAAAGATAGCATAATCCAAGTCCTTCATATTTTGTGGAAAGGGTAGATTTAAATATTCTCTAACATGGATTTGAAAATCTGAAATAGTAAAGAATTGTGGGAATGTTTAAGAAATTTATTAGGCCTGATTTTAAGGTAAGAGTTTAAGGATACTTTCCTTAGATGTTAAGTTATGGAGGTTCTTTTCTAAAATTGCTTTGGCTGAGC